ATGTGTGGAAATGTCTCTTGCTCTGCACTTGCAAGTCCCCTGGCTCCTGCTAAATTATACTAAAATAATTTTGTGTATATACTTAAATAGTTAAAAAAATATATATATACTTATATGACCGCAGAGTTTCTTGCCGGTTCTTCTCTTGCAGGTCTAGTTTAGTGAACCGGTGGTAGTTTTTGACGTTCAATAAGAGCTTAAAATAAGCCTATGTTGAATAAAGAAATTTTGACTTTTGACTTTGACTTTGATAAGAAACTCTGCAACTCTGCAATGGTTATCATCATCTATAAGGTGTTTAATTTAAATTTAAAACATAACCAGCGGTCTTTCCGAACCGTTACGACCTTCAAGAAGAGAGCACACTCTTTTCTAAAAGGCCGGCAAAGCAATTGTAAACCCTCATGTGTTGCACGTGTTTTATAGGCGGCGCGATCACTTTCCATAACTGAGCTCGTTTGCCCCTTTTCTCCATAAAAAAAATAACTAGACCATAAATGGTCCGATGTTCCAAATGCTCGAGATACAAATTCCTTAAAAATATATGTTTAACCATATTTCAGATAAACAGACGATCGATGTCACGTGTAATAAATCTCCATGGGCGCCGTCACCAACAGCAGACTAACCACTTGTTCGTGAAACGTTTCGCATTAAAAAAAACTGTCCGGTACGAAAACCGAAAGTGTTCGCATCACTATTCTGTACCCGACACGCGAGTGCGCGGTACGAAACACTCCTCTCACCTGAAACGGGACCTCTCATTAACCTAAACAAACATCGACCTTTTATTCCGCTGCACTGCGCCCCGTAATTGCCGTTTGCTTTATATTACAAACGGATTTTGTAGCGCTAATAATACAAAAGCTAAAGTTTCGCACATTATAATCGCGTACATTTCTGAACGCTTTCAAGCGACCCTCCTCAATTATAATCGCGTTCATTTTTGTACTTTTTCAAGCCACTCTCCTCAGAAGAATGCCATTTTTACACCACGTTTAATCGATTATATTTACTTACATAAATCACGCTAATGACGCGTCATTACATAGTCACGTAAATATAATTGATAATATTATGTTTTGAAAAATAAAATGTAGTAAGCAAGGTTAAAGTATCTATAGTATCTATAGTATATTGTTGTATTGCCAAATTAAATAATAATTCATAACTATTAGAGTGATGTAGGTACATACAATGATTGTTTTATTCATAACTACCTTTAATCTATGAATGAAACCGCCCTTCATAATTGAAAAGTAATGCGTACCCAGTTATATCCATCACACAAACCAGTTATCCTAAAACTGGAGCCGACTGGTGCATTTCAGCCTGGAAACTCCAATTTGCATGTTTGTCCGGCTAACAACCTACTGCGCTGCGCCCCTAATATTCTTTATTGCTCTGATTAAAAGCCCGCTTGGGTTCTGCAGTTCTAACAGCGATATTCGCTTACGAAGTTGAACCTTAACAATTTGTGTACACGGGTTTTTTAATGTTTATTAAAACTTTTACGTGTAACGGATATCATCGCATTTGGCATTGCTTCTGGACATTTTCGAACGTTACAGCAACATCTTTTACCCTAAAATTGTGTGCAATCACACTTGATATGATTCTGGAAATATTTGTGTTTGACAACGTATAGTGTTCGGATGAAAAAGGAATCATTTTTGTAATAGAGTGTTTCTAGAATGTATTCTTGGATGGTCGAGCGAGTATTAAGTACCCAAAGTACGCTCAGGAACACCAGTGCCAACAGATACTGCTATAGCAAGAAAAACGTTAACACATAGACCCACATTGAAAATCTTTTACATCGTATCAATAGTCAAGTGTAAATAAATCGCCAATGACATTTATCACTGCGCTTTCCACTCCGTATAACATTTAAATTTTGAACATGATAAAGTTTACTCTATTTCCTGTACTTAAGGCGATTTTGTATACAAAAGAACTTAAAAAACTCCAGAATCAACAACTGATAACCCTAAGTCTTCAGCCAATATGAAGCCAATGTTTATTCCATCTTATTAACATTTATAACTGGCAATATCGCATTTTTTGGTTCAACCGAAAGTACAAGCGGGAACTTTTGGAATAACTTTTTTTTTCAACAAAGGGATCGCAACACAGCAAGAGGGTTTTTCAGCTGATAAATAATTAAGAGGAAAAATTTCCAAAAAATTCAAAGGTATAACAACAAACGATTGTGATGAGTAAAACAATTACCAGCTAAATATTCAAATAAATAATTATTTAAGGTAATCACTAAATATGCTAACAGAAATAAAAAAAATAACAACCCGTAAAATTGATAAATCGCTTCGGTCCATCTGCGTCCGATAAATTGAAATTGATTTAGCTCTTTCACGTCTGAATTAACGCTTGGAATAACTGCGATTTGTGGGTAATGTTAGTTTTTCATAAAGCTGCCTCGGTGTCCGGGTTGGAAGGCCGGCATCTGTTTGAGCAGCGGCCGAGACGAGCGAGGCGATTGAATGAAAATATTGAATATTTATTCTGAGCCGAACGACACTCCCGGACGGGGAGAAATACAAATATAGAAGGGATAGTGGGATAGTGTAGTAAAGCAAATGGCAACTCATTCCTTTCTTTTGTTTTTCGAAAACATTACACCATTGTAGGTTAAAATCCCGATCCCGTTGGATAAAAATACTACAATTTTTAAAAATACTCAAATTTAAAATATATATTTTATTAGATAAATGGTCTTAATGCTTTCGGCTCTCCGCAATTTGAACCTGCGTCTATCTTCTATTTTCATTACATCTATTTATGAAAAAACGGCATTTTAGAAATGCTTGGTGCCATCTAGTGCTCATACTTTACAAATCAAATATTTGTCAATAACTCGGCGCCATCTAGTGTCGTACTTTACAAATCAGATCAGGTGGTAGATTTTTTTTGACGTTCAATAAGAGCTTAAGTTAAGCCTATATTGAAGAAAGATACATATGACTTTGACTTTGAAAAAAAAAGATCATATCAAATATCTATCATTATAGAATCATTAGAAGAAGCACTTAACATATTGATTGTCAAAATTATACTACTATTGGTACAACTTGAAACACCTTACAAATGCCAATTAATATTAAAGAGTGGTATTTTCCCCTTAGTTATTAAAATTTATGATTACTTGTATCTGCACATAAGATATGAAATTTGAAATATGAATTTTTATAGATCACTTGTCAAAATTTATCGGCACTGCGGACAAACCTACAGCTCAGGTTAGAAAACAACTATGATATAAACTGCAGAGACTGTTTCTTTTATGTAAGAATATTGCAAGGCGGTTCACTTGATGTTAAGTGACCGCAGCGCCCATAGACCTCAACAACACCCGTAGGGTTACTGATGCGTGGTCAACTTTTATTAAAGTAGGACCCGGATACCTCACCCACCAGATGAAACGCGGAAGTATAACACTTTCACTTCACACCGATATTCTGTGATTCTCTAAAGACAAGAGATAGTGGCTTTAGAGAATCTCAGTACTTATAAAGCAAACTATTTTTATTGTAACTTTTTTTATTATAACATATTTTTTAGTAACGTACTTTATATACTGTTTATATATTTTTTTTATTTTTACTGTATATTAGTTTAATGTTTGTATTATTGTATATGTTCATATTTCACCTTTTGTTTTGTAAAAGTTTTTTAGTTTGGTCTCCACTGTCTGTTAAAAAGTAGTTTTTACCTATAATTAAGGTACCACTCATCACTTTTTAGCAAGCCTTGTTTATTTATTCTGTTACGGTGTGTACTTTGTGGGTGATAAATAAATAAATAAACTAAGCATGTATTTGGTATAAATAATAGGAGAATAGAAATATAAGTAGGAAAATATATAGTATTGATTCGATGTGAAGCGGCAAAGGAATTATTTTATTAAAAGAGAACAAGTGAAATAAAAAAAAACATTCCGATTACAATACCATGTAATTACTAAGACTAGACAGGTGTTAGCGGAAATTCGTAATTGATTTTTTTAGTTTTGACCTTACTTGAAATCCCATACAATAAAAAAACATAACTTTAACCGCACATAAGATCGCGTCTAAAGCTACTAACCAAATTCAGTCTTTGTGGCTTGACGCTTATTTCCACCAATTGTAACTTAAAATGTAGAGTTGGACATTGAATGCGCAACATATCGCAACATTACAGATGGTCCAACTAATTCGAATCGGCAAATTCACACTTTAGCTTAGAGAAAGAGAAGAAAGACAAGAAAGACACGTGGTAGAGTCACACGAATGTTAATGTTGCATGAACGGACCGACACAACGCTTGATAATAACGGCCACACAGAAAAGCCAAGCTTAAATACAATTATTACAACTTTTGCGTTTCCCCCAGCGCCACTTCAACTCTTCAACTCTTCAACTACATTGGTGTTGCAGTTACAAGTTGAAATATCCATTGGTTGAGGACCACCGCTCAAGATTAACTCAATTTTTTTTATTGTTTAAACTACCCTTACTGTAGGATAACATTATCCCGTGTTGTAAGGACGTTTTACATACACAAATTTCACGTGGACAACCAGCCAGATCCAAAACAATTTTTCCGGGGGCACACAAATAGTTATCTCGTGTGGGAATCGAGCCCACGACCCCCGGCGCCAGAACCAACACTTCAGCAACTGCAACACAGGTACACCAATGGTTAACTCACATAAACAACACGTGGTAACACTTTTTTTTCTTGCTCTTTTTTTAAATAAAAACGTTAGCCTTACTTTAGGATAACATTATCCTATGTTGTTAGGACGTTTTTATAAACATAAATTACACGCGGACAAACACCCAGATGTGAAACAACTAAATGTGGGTCACACAAATAATTGTCCCGTGTGGGAATCGAACCCACGACCCACGACCCCCGACGCCGAAGCCAGTACCTTAGCAACTGCGCCACGGAGTCATCAAAGTCTTTCCCGTTGACTTCCCTCGCTTACCACGTCAGGCTGGCCGGCAACTCGCTTCGCTGTCGCAGGGCACGTGCCCTGACTGGCCGAACTTGCAGAGCACACTCTGGAACAGACCCTTGCTGGATGGAGGGGTAATCGGTCCAGGAGTATCAGACAATCGCATGGCGAGCGACGCGTTCGCTCGCGGCCAGCGCACTGGGTGCCGATTACTGGCTATAGGCGTCGGATCGCTGAGGATAATAAAGATATTTGTTTAGGTGATGTTGTAAGTTATTGCCGATATATATGATGATAGCAATAGAACTTTTCTTCCAACATTTCAGCCTGTTAGAGACCACCGCTGAACATAGACGTCCCAAACAGACTGCCACGAATCACGATCCTGAGCAACCTGTATCTATCTTCCGCACATTCCATCCTAGACTGCTACGACCAGTACAAGGCTGCCGAGAATCTTTCTTCCCCAACGGTTATCGGTTCTACAAGAGATGTGGCCGGTCATTACTGCCAACACACATTGACACGTCTAAGAATACTTGTCGGCATTGTAGTTAATAATTGAATACGCAAAACGTCAGTAACAATGTAACAAATACTCTTGCGTTTTCGAATCTCATAGGGGTAAGACAAAAACATGCAGTTGCAAATGTTAATTGCGGCAACCTAGTCAACATGAACACTGCCTCAATTTTAAATAATTATGCATTATTTGAATTGATTAGACCAGTGATTCTCAATCACTGTGCCGCGGCACTTTTGTGTGCCGCCAAATTTCAAAAGTGTTCCGCCAAATTTTGCAAATATATAATAATGTTAATATTATTAAATTATATCATTTAAAAAGAAAACTATTTTTTGGCATTAGCCAACATTAAAACTAAAAAAAGATCAAGATTGTTAAATGTAGAAGACGATATGAGAGTAGCATTGTCATTTTTACGACCAAATATAAATGAAATTATCAGAAAACATCAAGCTCAAATTTCGCATTAAAAATATTTTTATTATTAACTTGTAATTAATTCCTTAATAAACGTTTAGTTATTATTGTAATATATATTAGTTTATTTCGAATATTTAAAATTTTTATCATAAACTATTTATGCAGTGTGTTGTAGTAAGTAAATAATTTTTATCTTTTTCTTGTGTGCCGCGAAATTTTGAAATCGTTTAATATGTGCCGCAACAAAAAAAAGGTTGAGAATCACTGGATTAGAAGAGACGAAAGAGAAGAGAGAGAAATCACGAAAGAGAAATCCCGTCGAATCAAAATAAGACAGAAAGCGTTTCAAGTCACGGGTAAAAATCTCAGTTTAGGCATCCGCTGAATGGTTACATAAAAAAAATAATATGCATAATATGTAATAAATGCAGATATTATGAATTAAAATAATAGCATAAGTAAAAGAGCGATAAGATAAGATGTTAGCATTGAGTATCATAACTACGAGGCTTTACGGAATACATACCCGTATTTCATAAAGTTAGTGATCATGAGGGTCAGTCGGTCGATGAAAATGCGATCAGGCCGCGTCAGAGGCAATGGCAAACCAGCCGGCTTGAAGACATAGAACACGTCGTCAGAATGGGTCGTCTGGTCTACTCTCACGCCGGATATCCACTTGGCGAAGTTCCTATTGCCCCGATAAGAGAATACGTAATTGTAGACCGGCTGATCGGACGCCGTCGTTAGGAGATTGAGGAATTCGTCATGAGTACCGTGGACAATCCAGTCAGAGTAATATCGCACGAGACCGCGCATTGAGCCTTTAGTTATGTTCGCCCCACCGAAGTAATGGGAGCGGAGTGACGCGCCTATAGCTTTGCGATCTTCCTTCGAACACCAGGAGAATACAGAGGGCAGCTGCTCGTCGAACTCCCTATTCAATTTAGCCAAGAACTCCTCATCCGCTATACCGTAGAACAGGATCCCTTCAACCTCAGCGTGCCCCAACATCACAGGCACCTGGTGGAACTCCCCACTTTTGAACAGTTTGTACGGAGTGTCGCGGAAGAACGGCTCCGTGCTGTTCGTATCCATGCACGGAGAGTACTTGAAGTGCTTCGGATTCACCGAAGTGTCGCTGGTGGCGCGAATGAGCTCCTCGATGGGCGCGTTGAGGAATACTCTATGAATGTCGTACTCTGTGTCGGCTGGGGCGATCTTCCGCGCGTCTTCCAAAGCGGGCGCCAGCGGTTCCAGGTTGAAAGCCCACGGGGCGAACACGGAGCCACTCATCGCTATTACCTTGTGGAATAAGCCGTCGCTTTGGTCGGATATTAGGTGCATTGTGGCCGCACTGGCACCAGCGCTCTGGCCGCACAGGGTCACGTTGTCCGGGTCCCCGCCGAACGCCGCTATGTTCCTTCTCACCCACTTTAGGGCGGCCACCTGGTCTTTCAAGCCCAAGTTGGACACACCGTTCACGCACAAAAACCCCAGCACATTCAGTCTGTAGTTGATCACGACCACAACCACGTTCTTGGTGACTAGATATTCGGGATCGTAGTGGGCTTTGGTGCCGTAGTAGTAAGCGCCGCCGTGTATGAACACCATGACGGGCAGTTTCTTTGTGGGCTTCACAGACTCGGGGCTGTACACGTCGAGGGCGAGGCAATCCTCGGTGCCCACCACAACAAAGAGGAGCATCTGGGGACAGCTGCGGAAGCGGTCCACGGCGTCGAACACACCGCTCCATTTCCGCGGCTCCTTCGGAGGCTGAAGCAGAAATTGTTATATATTGAAATTAAAAATATCTCTATTCAAATAGACGCTTGCGAAATTTTTATATAATAATAAAGACGATATAAAATTGACAATGGCGAAATTGATACCGTTGATGTTGATGTTTGAGTTGCACTTTGCTTTTAACTTAAAAGGATTTTGCAAAAGAAAATGTGGAGCGTTGAGTATAATCCATCACCAATCACCATACAGTTACTTAACATACTGCTAGAGGATGTTGCCATTGAATTGCACTCCTCTTGTACAAATATTGTTTTTTGTTCGGCACGGTTGCTAAGTTTAAGAACTCGTGATTCCGGGACGATGGTTCGATTTGACCACGGTATATATATCAATTAAAAAATAATAGTATGTCGTAAAAATTGTAGACACGGAAAACTTGTACATTTCCAATCTACATATGTTAAATTCGCGAATCGCGTGTCGGCGGCTGTCTCAGACCTTGCGCAAAGTGAAACTTGACCGTACGATATCCAAAACACTAAAGGTCACATTCGCCTAGGTGAATGGGATTCGAACACATGACCTCGTATAGCCAATCAACGTCTGAATGTCTAGGAGACCGCTGTTATTAAGTTACGTTAATTTGTAAATAAATAATTTGAAAATTTCACAAAGAGATTTTTTTGGAATAAAACTGGAATAAAACTGCATTTACGCAGTAAATAAAGTCCTATATTATACTTACCTACTACTATACCCATCATATAAGTTACCGTGATAGCTCGGTGCCGGCACAAATGAAGTTGTTAATTTTAAGTGCTCACTTATCACGTGCTCAGCGGTGATAGAAAATAGTGAGAAAACTTTCGTATCTTCGAAATAATAACAAAAAAAAAGAAAAACTATATCGAAAATATGTGAAGTCTACCACCAATCCGCACTTGGTGGACTATGTAGAGAGGTCTTTGCCCAGAAGTAGGACATTTATAGGCTGTTACTTTTTATTTTATATAAGTTATACCTATATCAAATTTCCTTCGAATGCAATCAGCCCTACATAGTTACTCTGATATTCACCTGAAACCTCTCACTGGTGGCGTACGGTATGCCATAATACCGGTTCTGCCCGGAGATGCTCCTCAGGCCCCTCACCTTGCCCTGCTGTATTTCCAGCACCGGTGTGAACACGCACCAACCGACTCCGATCTCCGACAAGCTGAGTATCCACCACCACAACGCGTTGCCCAACCAAAGAGCTCTCATGGCCAGAAATATACCACGACGCAAATCGAAAACAATCGTTGTTCTCACATATTTCGAAAACAAGGTGATCTGCTTCTCTATACTTTTAACAACGACGTCATTCAATTGTTCCTTCACTCGTCTGTTGTGTGCTCGTAAAATTATTCAAAGAAATCCAGAGGCTTCTAGAAGTTGGGGAAATTCCTTCTGATGTAGACAATGTTGAACGATTTTACATAACATAAATAGCGAAGTAAATTCAACGCAAGTTGTTCGACACTCTTATATTGATATATTTTAAAACCTGCCAATCTTGAACTCGTTGTAGCGAGATACTGTAACTAGGCGTTGTGATGAAAGCGAACAGTATCGCAGAGTCCACCCCACCGCGTGGTAATTGTGCAAGAAACTTACTCATTTGCACAACACTACAGGCTGACGGATGAGCATTGATTTTTATAGTGCTCTCAGCAGCTACTCGTACATGTTAGCGTATATTCATATGCGTTAACCATTCTTTATCTTTGCTTTTTAAGGTATTACTACGATGCTTCACTGTCAAAGTCAAAAGTGTGCTCAATATATTAATTTTCGAAATCTAACCAACTCAGAGGTAGCTATAGTTATACTATATGCTATAATTCCAAAGAATTTAATAAACGCTTTAAAATTTGTAGAAAAAGTACGAGAAGATTGTCGCCGCTATGGGAATCGAACCCACGTCTTCGGCAGTCGCGGCCTGACGCTTTAGCCACTAAGCTAAACGGCTGATTGCCACATTTTTCTACATTTTTCAATATCTAAGGCTTATTTAAGAGCTTAAATGTACATGTTGAAATTTTTATTTAACTTCGCGAGTACTTACTTTCAATGTAAGAGTGGTGTAAGCCAGCGCTGTTGCAAATAATTTTAAATACATCGAAATATCCCATGTCGAAAGGTAATGGTTAGCAATGGACCCTGGAAACAAATTAGTTGAGACATTATACTTATAATTTTTGTCTTTTCTTTTTCACGTTTACCAGGATCATGGTGGGTATGTTTAAAAATGATCTGGTTCTATTTATTAGACATCACTAAATAGTATAAAACAAAGTCGTCCCGCAGTCTGTCTGTCCCTATGTATGCTTAGATCTTTAAAACTACGCAAAGGATCTTGATGCTTTTTTTTTACTAGATAGAGTGATTCAAGAGGAAGGTTTATATTTATAATACAGTAGCATAGTCAGAAATAAAATGCAAACCAATAGTGTCATGTAACATGTCTGAACACAGATGTCCAGTATTTGTTTAGCATCAGGTGAACCGCCAGCTTGCTTGACACATTCTTACATAAAAAAACCGGTCAAGTGCGAGTCGGACTCGTGCGCCGAGGGTTCCGCGCCTACTCATTATACCGCCCTGATATTAATAAGGTGAATCTGAGGTAAATAATCACCACCGATTTTCGCAGGAACGGGTGGACCTATGAAGTTAAAATGTATACCAGTTACTTTCGACCCAAAACCTATGGGGTAATTCTGGTTGACCTAGAATTGTCAATTTGGTACTTACAGGTTTTCGCGAAAATCTAAATTTGTTATTAAATTAACTACTTTGCCAAAACCACGTACAAAATCATTCATATGTTGTCACGTGTTGTGCCGACCCCACCTAGGTGAAATAAGGGCACGAGGTTGATGATGATGAATTAGATCGGGCTTTGAACAGACAAAGACACCGCTAATTGTATTACGATATACACTCACTTTAGAGACACTTAAGCGGTGGTTATAACGAAACTAGTAAGTACATAATTTTTTTATGTGTCTTCTTTTTAGGTGTCACTTAAAATTAGGGATCGATGGTTAAAATGGGCATATGAATGTCGCCGTGCCTACTAATCCAAATCCGTAAATTAATATATCTTTAATTGACATAAACTATTATTAATGTATCTTATTTTAATAATAGTTTATATCTAAAAAGTTTCATCCTAAACTTTAATACATATTGGTTTACACTAAAAGCGAAAACGACATGAAAGTTCAACATCTCAACCAATGCAAAAACGTTGAATTTTATTATTTGTGGCGCCTCAATGCTCTAATATAACCTAATGATTTGTTGCAACAGTAATACGTTGCATAGACTAGACATAACATTGTTTCATAAAAACATCTAGTGTAATCGCATTTGATTTCGATTTCTAATTCCGGGTTTTCGAATACTTTTCACCTTTCACCGTTCATAGACACGGAAATTCGACATCCTGATGTAAGAGACAAGCCATCTAAAGTGTTGCTCAATAGCGTGGATGGATATGGGATGGATTTGATGGATATCCGTTCCCAATGGAACGGATATCCATCAAATCAAATCAAATCATCTTTATTTTTTTTCTATTACATATTACATATTATTTATATTCTATGGCATAGCTAGAACACTCTTTTTCTTTCGGTGTTGTATAATAAGTTTGTTCATTGAAAATATATAATTTATGTACTATAAATTATATATTTTTTTTTATATGCCTTTTTATTATATGCCTTTTATTTAATTGATTTATTTCCACGAATAAGTGATTTATGACTATTTTATTTTAGTGCTAGTCTGCACTCAAGCTGAAAATTAAATTTTTGGGTGGAAGGTGAAGGAACGGTCGAAGGAAGGGTTATATTTTGACCTGCACTTATTGTGATCTCATTAAAGGTATCAACATAAAGTTTCATAACAATTAGGTCATGCGTAACAATTTTCGGGAAATTAAAATATAATACGTACGTCTATGGATTTCCAATTTAGAGACGATTTAGCCGTTTCTATATAGATTTGATACAAGATGACTATAGATATGTACGTAAATTTCCGATTGCCATAATTAAAATGAAAACTGTTAAAATGTGATTTTCCGGTTGTTCCGATGTGGAGCATCGATTATTTTATAGACGACGGACATATTAACAGAGCATATGCAGAATTTGATTCTAATTCTGAATCTGGTACGTACTTGACCTCATTTTTTTTCCAAACATCAGGGGGTACCGCGGCCCCACGAAAAACCGGCGTGTAGTGGAAGTTATACATTCGCGTTTCGTCTTGTAAAGTAACCGGTCTTTTTTTAAAACAGCAAGCGCCTCAGGTGCTGTAGATGTCCATGAGTACAAACCTTGTCCTTAATGTATTCTTCGATATTACAATAGAGCATTTCCGTTAACGTCTACAAAATTTTTGAAATCGTTAACGCTTTGTTGTTTGTCGTGGAATTTGTTCGATTGTCAAAATACTGAAGGTTACTAAAAAATTATTAAAATTAATTTGATTAAAAAAGCCATTAACATGTCTCAATCTGCAAGTCGTCATTGGTGTGTTTATAAATCAATAATATTTCAGAAAAAATATGGCTTCTGTCTTTGTCATATGGGCGAAGGTCGATCCCCCACGGTGTTTTAGACCATAATGCAGAGAATGCATCGCTTGTTCGCATCGCATTGTTTATACATGTCCCACTGCTGGGCAAAGGCCTCCTCCATACAGAGGATATCAGGGCATAGTCCACCACGCGGCCCCACTGCGGATTAGCGGACTTCACATATTTTCGAAAAAAATTTTTTTGTTATTATTTCGAAAATATGCAGGTTTCCTCACGATGTTTTCTTTCACCGAGGAGCACGTGATAATTGGTAGATTATCTCATATTATATTAAGTGCTGTTACATTTCATACTAATAATATTATAGAGTTCAGATATCGCAGGTATTGCTCACAATCCAAAAATACCATCGATGAAGAGCTTCTTTCCCCGTACTGTAAAGGTATTTAAATAAAACACAAGGGCGCAGTTTAAACACAATATATTAATAAAAAAGAAAACAATACAATATACTAATAATATTGTAGAATCATCTTTACATACAAGTCGTGAGGCGTTCCCGTTTGACGGGCAAGCACTCGCGTACACAGAAAATCATATATGCAAACACACGCGCACACACGGACAGACAGAGTACGGTCGGCAAACAAAATCAGCGATTCACTTCTGTGTATGTATAATCACAAGTCTTTAACTGTTTTAATGGACAAATTCGTGATATTCTAATGTCTTGGAGAATTAGAAACGGTAAAGTAAACTGATCTAATAATGATTCGATGCGGAGGTACCAAGACATTTTGCTTTGCAAGCGTCGTTCTGTGTACACGAGACACGCCTCTGGCCGCCGGCTTCGGACCGTTCGGCGGTTGATTACAGATTACACCCTCGATTACCAAACTACGATTAGCTCAACTTAATAAAAAAAAAACACGTCGCGGCCCGTCGGCCGGCGGCCAATGACCCTTGGCGTTCCTACACGCAAACGGTATTCCCGTCTCGTTAACGTTAAAACTATCGCAGTTCACGGGCCGCCGCTGTTCCCGCTCCAGAGGGCGCCACTCCGCGGGAACGATAAAAATTCTAAAAACACCCCCCAAACCCTGACAACCCCCGTGCTCTCATCGATTGTCGTACACATTCCGCAACGGCGGCGACCCACTCCGATTGGCTAGTTGTTATTATATTTTTTTTTTCATTTCCTCGATATTTCTATATCCAATACAACTATAATATACGCTGAGACAATATACACAACGCGCAGTCCGTAGTCCACATGACACTAGTACTACATTCGATTTTCAACTTTAAACACATACGTCACAACGTCCTTTCTCGTTGGGCCCGTGGACGAGCACGCATTTACAATATACACAACTCAATGTCCGCTCACATAATATATGTATAAAAAAGCCCCACACTAAGCGCCGACCCCCTAAACGCCGCGCGGAGGACAAGCCACTAAACTAAAGGGTACAAAACAGTACTTATTGCGAACGACCTAAAGTTCATTATGCCGTGCGGTATAGCGATCACAACATCATCAAGCCGGGTTGACTTTGATGGATTGACGTTTCAATGTTACAATGGAAAGTACACGTGGAAATGACGGTATTAAAATTATGTTTATAATACCCGGTGTATCGAGTTCCCTTCTAGAGGGACGAGTATGTCCCCATTCGAGTCCCCACCACCGTACAAAACCAAACGGATCGAAGCGTCCAAGCGAGCATTCACGTTCGTGGCCGGTGCCACGACATTCGTCACAATATATGGACGCTCAATAAGGCAACGAATGTGCGTTAATTCCTAACGTAGTCTTGTATATACAAGTCTTCAATCGTTTATATTGAAAACCGTTGGTCGTTTGAGGGGCGCGGCCGCCCGAACCAGTCCGATGGGTCTGAGAACGGCACCGCGCTGGTTTCACTTGTTCGCGGTTTCGATGCGGATCTGTCACTGTGAAAACTCCTATGCTCTCCCCTCCGCCCATTCTGTCGTGGTACTACTAACTCTATAAGACTACATAAGATAGAGATAATCCCCGCGAATTCAACGACCACGTTACCGTCACTAAGTTGAACGTTTTGCACCATTAGTGACGACCCCGCTAGAAATGAGAAGTCATTGAATACGTTACGTGAAATAAGGGCCGTAAGCTGAAATTTCACGTTGAACGCTACTGAATAAAGTTTGGCTTATATAAAATCATGAGATTCCGGATAGGAACATGTTAGTTTAGCGACAATTGAAAAATAACGGGACAGTATTTCGAACTTAAGATATTTCAGCGCGAGCTCTCGGCAGTCGGTCATTGTAACAATTCTGATCAATAAAATTGAACGCTTATATAGGGCAGAGCTGGGATTGATAAAAATGTACTATATCTGAATCGACAGAATCAATCAACGCAGTGTGAGATAGAACACATCACCTTTTTCTACAAAGGTTGAAACAATTAGGCATAGCTTCAGTCGTAGAGCCAGAGCCAGTCCTGAACGTTGGGCGGTGCGGGTGCGGGGGCGGGGGGGGGCGGGTGGGGGCGCGCGCGGGCGTGGGCGGGGGCGGGGGCGGGGTCGGGGGCGGGGTCGGGGGCGGGGGCGAGCGGGGGCGCGGGGGCGGGGCGGTCAGCGGCGCAGCAGCGCGGGCAGGTCGGCGAAGGCGCAGGCGCCGAGCGCGGCGCGCGCCATGCGCCGCAGCAGCTCGCGCGAGTGCGACACGCACGCCTCCACCGGCGAGATCCACTGCATGCCCTGCGACTCTGCCCACGCCAACGAACGATCCTCACTCACCACGCAACGACCGGTTGGCTCTCTCGAGGAGGCCATTACCGATCCATCGAGGTGGCCACGCGCTGAGGGCGCCTGGTCTGTACCTCGATTATGGGTGACTCAGCTCGACGGCTCCCGAAGGAGTCTCGGCTTGGGCCGCTATTATTTTTATCACCGGTTTAGTAGTCAGCTCTCGCCTGACAACCGGCCTAAATGAGGGCACCTATTTGAGACCTTGCGGAACCCCCGTACGTAAAGATTATGCATTCGTCATTTAGTTGAAACGTCGTTTTGTATTTAACAACTTAGTTTCATACGATCGATGTCCTTTATAAATGCCATATGGTCAATCGAAGCCAAGGCTGAATAAAGTAATAAAACGTTTCGGGACAAAGCACGATCACTTAATACATACAAAAATGTACTTTTAAAAAAAAGTGAAAACGAGCTGGCGTTTCGGACATTTGCAACTCTCGTAGGGTTGCAGATGCGTTACCACCGTTTTAACAAACTGAGCCCCAGCTTACTCACCAGACGAAACGCAGAAGTGTAACTCCCACCTCACAGCAGGCGCGGTACCTACCCGAACGGACCTGCCATCCGTGCAACAGCGAGGGCTGTCGTGTCTACGGAAAATGTTCAGCTCGATCCATCGCACTCTGGACGTGGAGGACCTGTATATCGCGGCTACGCACCGAGGATGGCAGAGTTGAGCGCCTCGCAGACCGCCTCCCTGCGCACCGGCTCCAGCTGCCACCCCACGGGACTGTCCCACGGGTTGCTGTACGCCAGCAGACTGAACGCGTCCTGGGCACACAATTCCAAAGGAGAATGGAGCCATACATGATGGTGCCCAGCACCGGCTTGTTCTACCTCGCTTAGTCTACACAAAAAGCTGCACGCAATTCAATTTGATTCTTTGTTGGTATTTTTACTGGGTTGATTCTTTCTTTCACTTTCCCGCGTCTATGCGAGTGTGTTCTGTGTATGGGTCAGTAAGGCATCGAAGGATAATGAAGCTAGAAGGTTAGCACTGAAAATCAGCGCTGTGTTAGGGCCTCGACTTCCGGCATAGCATAATGCTGAGCTGCTAACCTAATTTACCGGAATAGGGCGTAGGATATTTTTGGTTTGCTAAAATTCTTTATCATTTGTTTCATATTTTAATTATGCATTCATTTTGCTTTACTGAATTATTTATAAGTATTTTTTTATTTCTTTTTTTTTTTTGTTAATTTTAGTTTTTTTTTTTTTCTCTTTTATTGTGTGCGTCCTTTTTTGGTAAATAAATGGATTTTCTTTCTTTCTTCTTTCTTACGCAGTCATTGTAGTACGCCCAAGATAAGTTCGAGAACCGAACCGTTTTAAGCGTAGCGTAATGAATAGTGGACCTGTCTCTAGCATCAGAGTGTGGGTTCGATCCCAACCACTGTTAGAATATTGTGAAGAATATTTCTTTTTTTCTAGTGTCTGGTTTGTGTGTCTATTATATGTATTTATTTACAAAATAAAATAAATAAAAATCTATAGAACAGGCTTCGCTTCGTGTAAGAGAAACACTGGATAAAAGTATGTATATCTCAGTGCTGGACAAAGGCCCCTTCCGTACAGAGGGTATGAGGGCATAGTCCACCACGCGACCCCGCTGTGGACTTCACGTTTCTTCGAAATATTGGGATCAGACAACGTTGATTTATTCATTTCGTCCCCGGGGGTGTTTCATCGGGTTCGAAGCTCACTTAAACATGTTAGGGTATGTGTAACCGACCTCGAGCATCGCCTTGTGGTAGAGGTCGTGGTGCAGCCGCTGGCTCATGGCGTAGAGCTCGCGGCCGAAGGCCAGCATGCGCTCCACGGAGGCGCGGGTGCAGCCCGCCGCGCCTGCACACGCCCCCAACGCTATCTGTCTCTGTCGCACACGCGCACACGCGCACACGCATGCACACGCGCGCACACTCGCGCTTACTACAGCTAAGGGAACTCGTTCATTGCTTCGTTCATTCATTCAATCGTTCGTTACTTCAATCTTTCCGATTACACAAATCGCATCCAACGCCTCGAAAACTTTGATGAGGTTAAAACTTTACACCCAACACACAATCGAGAAAAGCTAGAAAATGATTATGCGAGAAAGTCAAATAGCATTTTGAGAATCCGCCACATACATTTAAAAGCAACTAACGCCTATCTTAATAAGATTCAGCACAAGTAAAACAATTAAAAATTAAATCACAAACGTGTGCACCGAAGATCTCATCATAAATCAAACATAAATATATCAAGATAGCTGCCACAGAATGTATATTGTAATTAAATATCGATACATATGTAAAGTATATAAATAAGAAAGATATCACTCAATAGATACTACGTAGATACCCTAAACTTAATAAAAAAGCCATCATGCATCCGAAATGCAAACGGTTCATACAAAATAATACCTGATAAACCTTAACCTTTCTACTTCAAAGTAGTAATATGGACCAAAGTTTGGGGTACAGTATCTTAACTGTTATGAACTTTGGAAAATTTATATAATTAAGTTCATCCAGGGCAAAAAGAGGTTAGGATTTACTTTGTCCGTACCAAACTATATTCCGATGAAAACGTCATGCAAAACCGTCCCAGCGTAACCCATATACATGCATCCACCAACGATTCAAACTACACAACAATTTCAATACCAAACACAACTTCGATTGAGTGGAGAAGGGGATAGCGAGAGAGAGAGAGAGAAGAGAAAATAGAAACACATGGAAGTCCTTGGGGTCACGAAACCAAACGCAGCTCCACACAAACAAACTACTTACCTTATGAACAAGGCAAAATAGATTAATACAAACGATGTGGACGACTTACCTTGCGAGCTAATTGGAGGCTGGGGTCTATTGGATATACATTATGTCGTGGATGAAGTGCTGGATGATAAAAAGGAAACTGCGCGGGTTCAAAGAAGAATCTAGAATACATCTAGAGAGAGCCCTGAGAAGGCGTTAAGTACCAATTTGATAGAGATTTTGGGCCATAATGGTACTGAAGTGGGTGTCGATTTTCAGTGAGATTGTTGGTGTCATTACTTGGACGTCCTGGACGTTTTATTTTCTGAAAATGACTCTATATAGAGTCTAGATATTTTGCTAGAAACTAAGAAAAAACTGTAGACTGAGGAGACAATTAAACGGAAATGAGGAAATGTGGTGAGAAGCAGAGAAACGTAGAAGAGAAAGCCTATCCTAGACAAGATATGAATGGGGTGATGACGAGGTCAAATGCATTTCTTTTAGCCGACTGTAACGTGTCGCAACCGTGCCGCGTCCGTGACGCATCCGATTTAATTTTACATCTCTTTCCATTTTTAATATAAGATTTTCATTGTAAAGAGCCTGAAATAAATTGGTAATTATATTCATTTCGCTCTAATGTTATTAACATTGAGACCAGGAAGGTTTGTTGTGAAGAACAGATTACTGAATAAGTCAGGGAGGTGTGCGTTGATTAGTGAAGGCGAAAGACTCGGATGAGGGTTCGCATTGAATTGAGAAAAGTCAATAAAAATGGGTGCGACAAGCAAACGGCACGAGAGCGTCACATGAACGACATGGGAGCGACACGGACGCGGCACGGGAGCGACACGGGGCGGGCGGGAGTCGGCCCTTACGCACCTGTGCTGGGCAGCAGCGCGGCCACGCTGGCCGTCACGCTGGGCATGCCCTTCACCAGCGGCAGGTCGCCACCTACAACCAGCGCCCACCACCGCTCACCACCGCTCACCGCCGCTCACCACCCACCGCACGCCATTCGACCTCCGTGCCGTGTGCACAATTCGAGAGGATTTCGCGACACCCCGTACGTTTGAGGGTAGCCGAAGAATTTCCCTTCGCAACGAGGAAACCAAGTCAACTGTAGCCAGTTGAAACCGCGCACTCGGCACGGCCGGATGGCGTCCAGTGGGGCCCTTTGAGCGGAGCGCTTGAAGCGAAACCAAACGAGAACAAGCCTCGGATCGCGAAGAACCGCGAACGGGTGAATGACGTGGCGCCGTCGAAACCGACCCTAATTAGCCATGCAGCCTTTTCTAGTCCTACTGCTAATCTAAAGTTAAACTCCGCTTAAACTTTACTCGTTAGATCGATACTGAACGTTAGTTAAACGACATAGCGACTACGCCAGCATACAGACGTACGTTAAATCGAAGCAGAGATTTGTTAAATAATCTAACTACTACTATTTTGTCAGTTCCATTAGAACTACTCTTATTAACATTACCTCTACTTATTAATTCTATAAAGGCATCAATGTGTCCTGTGAATTCCTATGTTCATATTTATGATAATACAGTACAGTATAGTATAAAGTTTATTCTTATATAATATTTTGAAATCATATATTAGTCGTATATTTAATTATTTCCCCATACTTGTATGTATCATTTTGAAATATTAATGTATAAATTATCAAATTTCATGCAAAACTAAAAAGCACCAAGCGAATAAAATGGTTTAACAATGGAAAATGAAAATGTCATAGTGATATACATATATTAACGTATTGAGAATAAAAAAAAGGACATGAATCATGGAGTGCAACTAAAATTAATAAAAATAATTACACTAAATATTTACAATGTAATTATATTGGCTCTAATAAGTTTATAAATAATCAATAATAATTTTTATATAACATATTTATGTTCAAAAGCCCAAAAAAGGAAATCCTATCACAAATTCTAACAACATACATACATACTAACGCGTACAGCTCATATATTTATAGATATAAATATATATAAATCGATCAAAACAATTTATAATTTTATCGACTTATTGTTCACCATTCATCCCCACTCCAAACAAACTTAACCAGAAAGCTGTTTGTACATCGGAGCTTTTTACAATGACGAAATAGGATACCGAGCTTTGTATAGCTTTTGCATTTTGCGCTTCAATGGCAAGTGTATCAGTCGAAGGTTTGTGGGGTTCTAGATTCGTACCTGCGGCCATGTCCACGTCCCCGTCCTTGGCCCCTCCGCCGCCGCCCGCTCCGCTCGCGCCTATGACGTGGACCGTATATAAAGTTGGCTTTTTTGAAGCCCTTACATTTGTTTATGTTTGCAAAGCAGCCTGACACAACATCTAGTATTTTATTTGGTTGCTTTAGTGTTTCATCTTCCTTTTTAACTTTAAAAAAATTGGGAATTATTACCCATAAACAATATGATTTGAGATCTTACAACATATGGTAAATCATTCATATAAACTAAAAATAGATGTGGACCCAGGATCGATCCCCGAGGAACACCAATTTGTACTATTGACATCTGATAGCAAATATACTATCTACCATGGGTACGATATTAGGAAACAAAGTCAATGACAGGCTTGCTTCAGGATACCTGCACGTCGAAGACCGTTTCAAGTTTCAATAGATATAGTAGTAGATACTTAGTGCCTTAGTGGGATTCGTGCCGGTCCAGTGCGGTCGAACAGACGGAACAGACGGAATAGACCGCGTGTATGGTTCGGTTCTCTCACCATTGGTGTGGGGCTGGCCGTTGGCGCGCGCCGTGTGCGAGATGACGGAGGTGGCCACGCCGTTGGCCCCCGCCGCCCCCGCCCCCCCGCCGCCCCCGCCGCCCCCTCGCCCCCCTCGCCCCCCTCGCCCCCCTCCTCCGCGTCGCCGCACACCTGCAACGCGCCACGAACGCCTGAACTTCGCCTGCAAGGGCTGCTGGTTGTGGCTCAACCATCCATTGTCAAATCGGCCAATTGAACAGAGTACGGTGGTAGGGCCACGCACCCGCCTCGGCTGTTGCACGAATGGGCAGGCTCGTCCGGGTAATTACCATGACCTCGTAGAAGACAGGCGTAAAGTGGAAGTGTAATACTTTCGCGTTTCGTCTGATGAGTGAGGTGGCCGGAGCCCAATTTCCAAAAAGGTTGTCAACGCATCTGCATGCCCTCGGCTGTAGCAGATGTCCATGGGCGGCGGTATTCACTTAACATCAGGGGAACCGTCTGCTCGTTTAGAAACTTTTAACATATAAAAAAAAAACTTCTTCACGAGGAACTGCGGCAGGGCCACGCTCGAGCTTGGTTACATGAGGTAATTGTGGATGTACACGAGCGGTGGTCGATTCGTTGCCGAGGACGAAACACAATGTGTCAGTCAGAGTACCTCCGAGTCGGTGCCGTTGACCATCTCGACGAACTGGCGACACTTGAGCAGGAAGAGCAGCTCGAAGTCCCTCTCCAGCAGGCCGGGGTAGGCGCGCCGCGTCGCCTCCACCGCCTCGCCGATGCGCCCCGCCAGCACCAGCTTCGATATCCCTGAGGGTGCAGCCGCACTGCAGCTCAGAACCGGCTCGGATTGGATCTCATATTGGTGGTATCGGTGCCACCCAATTAAATACATCCATTAAACCAGTTAAACAAAACAATACATCGAAAACCAAGACGTTTGGAAAAAAGCCTATTAGTTTTGCATTTGAATACACCTGGACACGACTAGATTTAAGACTGACCTTGTGATAAATTGACAAGAAATAAATCTTGCCTTCAACTTTAGAGATCGCTTTCAAATGGCTTACTATCGGTAGCAGACCAACGGTGAATCACGATCAATCTATCGATCGATTATGATGCCACAGTTCTATACCCAGCAATTGTCATTTAGTTCATTGACTAAGTCACCTTTGGCATCGACTCACTTTGTCTATTCTTAATGGACGCTATGTCTTCGTCTATGGGCTGGCCCGTCGCGCGGGAGAAGGCCTGCGCTGTGCTGCAGTAGCCGTGGTGCACCAGGTACGTAGATACCATCCTGAAATCGAAAGTTGTCTACTGAACATCTCGTAAAAAAGTCACGCTCCATGATGATACATAAATATGCTCATGTGATGCATAAAATAAAACACAATGAATAAAATATTTGTGGGATCATTACACGCTGACACATAGTAGAACATATGTATGTGTACTACTCTGTATATACTGTGCTAACAACTATTTGTGGACCACATAATTTATTCGATGTGGGAATCGAACCCAGACGCCGAAGCCCATTTTTCCTTTTTACTCCTATTTTTGTTCTTTACACTTGACTTCTTTAAAAAGAGCCGGCGGCCCTAGCGGTAGGGGCGAGGGGGTGTGCCCGTACCTGTGCAACACCTGCTGCCACTGGCCCTGCGAGTCGGGCAGGGGGAACTCGTCTATGGCCACCCGCGTGCGCGCGCGCAGCTCCCTGAGCATGTCCTCCACGTCGAACACGAACGGCGCCTGGCCGAAGTTCGCATCCACCACCTCGCCGGGCGTCTGCAGCCCCACCGTCGGGTACAGATTCGGCTGCGGACGGTCGTCTACCCTTATAGTACGATTGAAAGGCGACAACAATCCATAATGGAGGGGCCGAGCACTATTCTGGACGTTGGTGCATCATAACTTTAATTCGTCCCGGGCCTTTGAAACGCAATAGTCCGAAAGCGAACGACAAGTGAGCATTCTGCACGTTGATGTATCTTAACAAAGTTATTGATGGCACCCGTTAATTAAAACATAGCCGTTATCCGGCTACAAGGACCAGTAAACAATAGATTCAAAATGTGAACATGATTGTGTTTTAGTCAACTATTCTGATCGTCAAATACACAAAGTGGCAAATCAAAGTTTACCCAAAAATCCATCAGTTATGTCTTAACAGTATCAGAATTAAAGAACTGATTTCAGTCTCAAGCAATAAAGTAGATAATAAATGTAAGTAAAGTGAAATTATCCACTATGCTAATTGGATTCGATTAAGTTCGAGTCACTTCTATTTCGCCAGAGGTTGTGGGTTCGATCCCCACTACTGGAAAGATATTATTTTTAAACATTTTTTTTCTAGTATCTATTTGTTCAAATTAATAGAAGCTTTGCTTAGTTTGGGACGGTAGATAATGTTGCTTGAAAATGTGTCCAGAAATATTTATTAAAACTATTTAATTATTATATGTATCTCACCGGTAGTCCCCTGAACGCGATGCCGAGATGGTGTCCGTTCTTCGTGTAGAAGCACGTGTTGTCCACGAGGTTGACGCCGCAGCCGATGACGTCGCCCGTGGTGAAGGTTGGCCCGTACGGCTGGCCGGTGCCAGAGGAGCAGAACGAGTGGCCGTCGTCGCCGTGGTAGCCGTACGAGTGCTTGTCCCAACCTGAACGGGATCACTGCCGTTTTAAAATCACTCCTTAGGCGTTTGCTGAGGGCACCTTAGTTGCTAGCAGGCGGGACTTTATTCGTTGCTAAAGTTATGTTGAAACAATATATGAATTTATTCCCTTAAAAAACTTAAACGCTTATAACGATTCTTTGATGGACCATTAAACTTTTACAAAATCATTTTTTTTTTGTAAGAAGATGGCAAGCGAGCTGGCGCTTCAAATGATGTTAAGTGATAACCATCGCCCGTAGAGTTGCAGATGCGTTGCCAACTTTTAGTTAATTGGGCCCCGGCTACCTCACTCACCAGACGACTCTCCCGCGCCGATCTTCTGTGAGGTCGTAGCACTTAACCGGACGGACCTGCCCATTCGTGCAACAGCGAAAACTGTTGCGTGGCCCTAACACAGTATGTTGACGTTTTTTATAATGCTATTGCTCAGTTTAGATTCGAAGAAGGAATGTCTATTCTTCGACATAACATCTGTCTGTCAAAGTCGGCTCGAGTGATTCTCGAGGGGTTTCCATCGAGCCACGCTCCCCAACTTACCGGGCAAGCGGTTCATGTTGACGCCGTGGGCGGACAGCCCGATGCCCATGTAGCCATCCCTGCCCTTGGACACGATGCGCACCTCGAAGTAGTACAGGCCGCACGCCGCCGGTATGGGGTGGGTGGCGCGCACGCTCGCCGCGTCCTTGTGAGTCTTGCCGTGACCTGCGGCCCAACGGGATAAGTCAGGGCTGTCCACTAGTCTGTGTCTAATCTGACTACCTTTTTTTACTTCGAATCTGCACTTACCAGTTGTAAGTAATGACGTTACAACATACGCTTTTAAAATGCAATCCTTATTCGTTTTACCGTAAACTGAAGACACAGGGTTGAGTCAGGCGACCTGCCTTGTGTCTCGCTACCGTGACGCGTGTTGGTGTTATTGTGTGTAAACGATTTGTGTTTCTATTCTATTCTATTCTATGCGTAGCGACCTTTTAATAAAGTGGGCCCCGGCTACCTCACTTACCAGACGAAAGGCAGAAGTATAACATTTCCTCTTCACACCGGTCGTCTGTGAGGTCGTGGTACTCACCCGGACGGACCTACCCATTCGTGCAACGGCGAAAGCTGTTGCTTGGCCCTACCACAGATAAAAGGAGGGCACGAACATTTTAGTCGAATTCATAACAGCATTACACAAACTATTTCACTGCCCAGACCATGCTACATGAACACAGTGCCTCGCGAAAACTAAAACAATTTGCATTTCAATTTAATATATAAAACGTAAGATTCTTTACAAGACCGATTCATAGCGATAATGGCTGGAATGGTTTCATATATTTATATACAGGTATATATTATATTTTATGTACTAATTTACAAAATAAAAGCATGCTATACTTAATATAACTTATCACCTACCTAGTACACTTAGTACAAGCTTTGCTTAGTTTTGTATTAATAGTATGGTAATGATTAGGAGAATCCATTTCAAGCCGAAAAAGATCCCTATAAAATGCAAGTTTCTATGTCTTTGGCCCACTGTGCGCCGTCGGCGCCCGTAGTGGGGCGCGCCCGTTGAAACAATGGACGATCGGGCAGAAACACTCACACATCGCTCGGGTTAACGAACCGGCACGTGTCCAGTCCCACAACTGCGCAGTACGCGACGAGATAAACGTGCACGACTTGGTCTGAATCACTACGACCGCGCGGCCTCAGTGGCCACGACCACGAGATGAGCCGTACATGCTTGGCCAAGTTTCGAATCACGCTGAGAAGTTTTCGCGATGCGTTTAAGTCTTTATCGTTTTGCAGTAAGCCAAGACGTGGTATTTGTTTGAATCGTCACTAATCTTCACCAGGGGTTTTAAATAAATTACATTATTATACTGGAGCCAATTTTAGGGTTTCGTACCCAAAGGGTAAAACGGGACCTAATTACTAAGACTGCGCTGTCTGTCTGTCCGTCGTTCATCAGGATGTAACTCATGAACCGCGTTAGTTAGAAAGTTGAAATTTTGTCAGATGATCTATTTCTCGTTTTTATACGGAACCTTTCGTGCGCGAGCCCGACTCGCGCTTGTTTAGTTTAGCTCTTTCGATCAAGAGGAATAAATAAATCTGCAAAGCGGGCGCGTTAGGTAAGAATGGAGATGATTTTAAGCACTTTACGCAATTTTCACGTTATATTTAACTTTGTGTATTCTCAACGGTTCAGGTGCTATAGTAACCGTGGTCAGGGGGGGGGGGGGGGATAGAGTACTGTCCGCTCTTAACACTTTGTGTAAATAATAAAACAATATTGAGTCCCAAAAAAAATAAGTTTTGAGATCTTTACAATATATTCACCAGGTTGTATTTAATTCTTATTGACAAGGCTTTACTTCAAAAAGAAGAGCATTCGATGTCCAGTTGTTGCGAATGTTTCGCTAGTTGCGATTCGTCCAAGAGTAAATAATTAGGAGTAATAAATAATCAAGGTACACACTATTTAAAAACACTCTGTCACGTTACGCGCAACAAATAGTAAGCAAATCCGACCAAAATACAATAAAGAGACCGCCAAGAAGCAGACCAGACCGTGATAGATATAATGAATTGAAGTAAATACAGATTTCAAATGCGACAACCGAATTTCGTTATCTGACCTTGACTCTCGCGGCGGATACCCCACTTGACCTCAGATAAATCTTAGCCTATTAGCAAAACTATCAGGCTAACGTCTGTTTGATCCACTACGATTTAATAGAGTCGTATTATCTCTTTTCTTTATTTATCTTATTTCTTTTCACTACGTTTTACTCAATACCCCAATGGTGTACCTCAAAACTCATTGAATGTACTTTGGCAACTACTGGACCAAATTCGTGCGAGAAATTATGCAGGAGAAAAAAAATTATAATAAAAGAAGCCACTAAGGTAGTTAATTAAAGTATCACTAAATAAGACACCACCAACAAATAATTGCTCTCACACTTAATTAGGTATAAAGAGAGCCCATGCCCCAAAGATAACGAGACGTAGCTTTAGGCGTGTGTACATAAAAAAATAGTTGAGTAAATAGAACGCCGACAAAAAATTATTTCTTTATTTTATTTTTTTAAATATGTTTGTGTGGTTATGACCACACGATAGAAGAAAAAACTTCAAATTTTCCATTTTAAAAGACATTTTTTGTATTGAGTTTATTACACAAAAAGTAACTAACTGTCCGAACGTCCTTGGCGGATAGGAAACCTGGTTGAGGAATGGGGATGATTGTACACTATTCGGTGCGTTACGACCCGAGCGTGACGGGAAATTTTCGTACATTCGTCTTAGATATAATGTTCCCTTCAAAAACATAATTCTATAGGAGTGAATAAAACAATTGTATCGAAAAAAAAATGGAAAAAGAAAGCAAGTATTTACAATATACGAGTCCCACATTTACGACTGCGGAATCGTGGTCACCCTACGACCACGTGTCAAGGCCCAGGTCATGAATGGCAGCGGGCCGAATCCATTCGGCGGAGGCGTGCTACTGAAAAATATTTGTAAATAGCCGCCACCGCGGGGCAATAACAGCATCGAATTATTTACGAGGCAATCATTGCGCACAAACATCGAGTCTAAAAAGAGGGACTGAAATCTACACACGGGTGCACCGCGCTCCCTGAAAAATGTGGACAGAAAAACAGTCAAACACCTACTTCTAGGTAACCGTAATGTATTGTTCGTGAATTGTAATTTTCACACAGCTCTCCGTTGTGTAAACTCAAAAAAAAATCTTAAAACACAGAGTTTCGAATATTTTGGAGTTGGAAACCATGCACCAGTTATCGTTAACCAGACCTAACATCAACTTTTTAAAATCTCATAGATTTTAATCAGATCACTGGTTGTGGCGGGCCCAGTAGGGCGTCAACAATCATCGGAGCTAAAGTTCGAATACCCAGTTTCACTGATGCGTTTTCATTCTGAAAATCTAAAACGCACGTACCCCTTTATAGACACCCTATTTAGATTCTAGTGAAGTCAAGAAATCGCCATCATATCCCGGAACGAAACAGTCCCTTAATCATAAAAATCATCTAATAAGTCGTGCGAGAAACGGTGCGCGGGCGGAGGCAAAATGGCGGAGGTGGGGACAGAATTAGCGCCAATAAGTTCGTTGCCCTCCCGCACCTGCCACTGTGTGCTGGAAAGCGTGTTGCAACGCATGCAACTTTACAGGAGCCCAACAGGGATCGCCTAGGGTGGCCATAAAGTTCCTACAGGGCCTGCCATGACCTTACCTTATGGCAGCCGACATAGTCGCAATTAGTATTATCACTCGGAACACTTTCTGATACAATACGTAATTGAAGTACACTATTCTGAAGGACCTTGACGAGGTGATAGTGATTTTTCACCTTACATATTGATTTTACATAAGAGAGCAATCGCCTGTTGTGATCCTAATAAAGATATAATTTCTCCCGCGTAGCACCAAAAAAAAATATTAATGACATTCTAGGCTTATTCTGAAAATGATGATTTTTACTGCATCGTGCCAACTACGCTGAGCTTGTATTAAGGCCATTAAACTCTTCACTACCAAAAAAACTTTTCATATTTTCCAAAAATATGGCAAACAATTTTCCTCTTCAGATGACAAAGAATGAACCAAACCTGACACCAGTGTGTTCTGAAATATCACAGAAACTATATTTTATGACAGGCGTTTATAGAAATTAAAATTTAACAAAGGAAAATTCTCTGCAGACAATCCTAAGAAGCGAATAAGTGATGGTGCCTACAGCCATATGAGTCAGATGATTGTTCCGTGAGTTTATCGAGTCCATTTGCCTTTCGAAATCAAGCGTTCAAGGGAATAAAGCAGACTGTTTTTATCATAAACTAGCCAGTTCCACTATAAGCTAACCCGGTGCTATATTAGTAAATAGTAATACACTAGCTTAGTAGAAACATATTCGCCTCTGCCGTCTAAAGAATCAAATGAACTCGAAACTAACGACGTGTTCTAGTTTCTGGAATATCAGATACGAAGTTAATACTGATCAGTAGCGCATACCGTGGTATTAACAAACATCGGACACAATTTTACATTACTATTAACATACATAAATATTTATAGTTTAAAAAAGCTAATACTGTGTAAACGAGATCCTGGAGTGTTAACAACCAATTTGAAGATCGGAGAGTCACGTACAATCACCGCTATTCTGTTATAACGGCATATGTGTCGCCTAGAAACTTAATGGCTTCAACGACTCCGTCGATTTTAATATTCGGAAAACGATTCCGGTAGAAGAACAACTATCAAACCATAAACAAATATCAAAATCCACTTTAAACAGATATATTAATGTTAGCATACAGCTATTGTGTTATAATTAACACACTAACGCAGACTTCGATGCAGGCAGGGGGGAAACAAAGTAAATTCTACAATTGCGCATTCATAGAGTTAAACACCACGCCGTAAATATATAGTGCATATATAAATCACATAACATTTACACAGAAATGGAATGGAACAAAGCGAACTCTCGAAGAATCCCTTCATTGGTTTGAATCGGGGCTATGGCGTAATGACTCCAACATTTTCAATGCACATGCTACTATCGCGAAATGTATAACAATCGAACATAATCGAGCTGAAGCATTCTCGGCTAAGCATAAGGTGAAAGAAAAAAGTTAATTAAAGTTGATAAAATACATTAAATAGACAC